CGAGCAAAACTCTTGAAAAAGCCCCATATTTTATGACAGTGTCAAAATATCTGCTGTATGAGATTTAAAGATTCCGTGAAAATTGCTAAATTAAATCTAAGGTGCATAATGAAAATTATCATATTATATTCCATTCATTTTGCGGATCATTGTGACCTTAAAATCTCGAATAAAATCTTACATAATTATCTTTGTAATTATATCCATTTACATTCTCATGACAACATTTCATGATTTTGTTACCAAACTACTGTTTCATTATGTTACACATAATCTTGATATTACGATATTATGAATAAATGCTAGAAGTATTTCTTTAGTTTTCCAACTATTATTTGAAACAGGCTAGGAGTCAAGGTGGAAGATGGGGGATCCTTAAGTATAGTGTGGTGGGGGCGTAGTGTATGTATGACTATGAAATACAGGGTTTATTTTGAATATTCTTACCCACAGAGTAAGAAAACAGACAAAACACTTAAAACCTGGGGCACTTTCAAAACCCTAAATTAATTTGGAGGGGAAAATATTATCAATTAAATATGGTGACTTTAATCCAGCTTTACTGGTGCAGTTAGACTTTAGGTGAAACAAGCATAAATTTAAATGTAATATCTAATAATGAAAGAAATACAAGGAAAATTAACTGAAATTTTTTAAAAGAAAGATATCATTTAGTAAGAGATTTAATTGTCAAACTGTACTGAGACTCCCCACATACTTGTATTATCTTCTCTCTGAGCTTTAATGGCTAATGTCACAACATTTAACAAACAGCATATGCCACGACAAGTGATATGGGGATATGTAATAATATTTTAGCCAAACATTCTAATGAAGTGTAAATGACAAAACCCAACAAACGTGAACAAATATCTGCTCGAAATATTTACTTTCTTCATGATGTTCATTAACACCACAACAGCTGAGTTTAAACACAATATGCCGAACAATTCTGAAGAATCCGTGATAACTTTGATTTCTGCTCTTTACAATACGATTTTTAGTATGAATCGATTAAGAATGCACTGATGTACAAGGAATCAAACATGTTAAACAAATATTGTTAAACGCACAATTGCTAAATAATTGTATAAATATACTTTCTAAATATAATACGACTGAAGAATTCAAGAGGAGTTGGGGGGAAAAATTCAGCGTGAAAATCTTTTCAATAACATCTGCTACTTTTACTACCTCGGGCGGAGCTTTTAAAGATTAGGCGAACAAACTGTATGCTACTGCATTATGATAAGTATACAAAAAAATTAATATTCAATTTGCCGTAATGAAAAAATTGTAAGCTGCCTATATTGCTACTCTCAATGTGAACTCCACGGGGAAACATCGTAATGTAATTATGGTGTATGATAAAGGCTTTTCAAGTTCACTCAATCGAAATATGAAAACCAGTACCCTTTGCATTGATCCTTTATAATTTCTTTTAAAAATAATTTGCTCCTCGAAACGAAATCAACTTGAATGAGTTGGTATAGAGAATAAAAGTTAAGGTTTATCTATTGATTCGAAACACGTAAGTGGAAACGTAACACAAATTTCATTTTATATCGAATGAATGAAAACTTCATCTACGACAAAATAGTTTTTACGGCTTAACTTAAAACGGTTATATCTCCACTTAATTTTGTATAAGTTACGATCATTTTGCAACGTGCTCTCGTTTTTGTAAATACTTGATAATTTCTGTAAACAGTTTTTTTTCAAAATCAAATTTTTCGTATTAAAATGGCTGAAAAGAATCTATACAACAGATTGAAGAGATGTGAAAAAAATATTCTATGCAATTTAATAAGTTCATGTACGTGAATTTAATAATTTAATAATTTTTTTAATGAATTTTCATATCAAGCTTTTTTGTTATTCAAAATATTTCCAAATTTGACCACATAAAAAATGACAAAAATTTTAAATTAAAATTGTGATACAAATATCATCTATATGTATGTAAATACAACATAATATTCTGAAATAGGAAGTATTAAGAACATTTCCTTTTAAAATGTCTGACTAAAATTAAGTACTGCATTGCTGCATATTGGCTTAAATATCATATACTAAGTCTGTATTTGGCGGATTTTGGCCAGTGATAATTGAAAATATAAAAAAGTTCTTGAAGTATGTCAGCATCCCTTTATTAATTTCTGATCCAAAAAGTAAAACCATGGTAAAGTTTGATATATTTGTTATATACAATGTGTGTTATGGAAGCAGGACATAGATTGCAGCAGAGAAATAATTTATATTCAGTTAACCAATCTACAATATAACGGTTGGTTTATTTCCACACACCACTGGAATGAACACAACTAAACCTGTGATACTTTTACACATAGCTTGTGTATTTTTTTTACGACAACAACAAAAAAAAGAAATGAATCACAAAGATGTCAGAGTTCGATAGAATTTTATAATTTACCAAATAAAACTTGTCCAATTTTATCTCAACATTCCCCAAAGGCCCTGTAATGATCATATCAATTTGTACACACAGAGCGAGGAAAAAATTAGTGATTAATTCCGTATTTTTCAGAGTGATGTTATCTAAACAGAGATATTATAATAAATGAGAACACAATATGTAATATCATCATAAATATCAGCCTTACTAGGTGGCATACTTTACAAAATTGAAAATTAAAATGATAAATATGTAATGGTAGATACGGGGCTCTTTTCATTAGATCCTCATTTCCCGAACTTTTATCTTGTTCTCTTCATTCCTTGACTGAACTCGGAAAGCTATATGTATAGTGACACTATATAATACGTAAGAAAATTCATTAATAATATCAAGGAGGAAAAAAGCAGCATAAACCAAAAATATGATATAAATTAAATGTAGGCAGGGCTAATTTAACACAATGGGAGGGAACTGTGACCTGAACATTGCACTCCTTAATGATTTGATAATTTAGAGTTTAAAGCCATTATAACTACTTGAGAAAGATAAATGTGAAAATATCTGTTATCGTTACAAAAACCGGGATTAAGATAAGGAATGAAATTAGTCAAATAAAATTCTAGGCGAACACATTTTAATATAGAAAATTCATGAGTTTTACAACTACAACATGCTGTGACTAGGGTAAAGGGGTGTTTTCTCTTTTTTATCAATTCTATGTAGCTTAAAAATACTTCTTATTAAACTTTTCTAATTATAAAACCTGAACATAAAAAAATAAAAAGATAGTCAGACTAATAAAGAAACATTTGAAAAGACCAGATAAATACATTAATTACTTAATACATACATGTATTGTGTTTAAATTTCAAGGCCTTTACAAATTAACAAAGACTCAAATTAGATTAAAATTATCTCATAAATTATAATGTTAAAGTATAACTGCTAAAGGTGCCAGTGGTAATTATTAAAATTTTGATATTACAGGTAAATTTGGATGAATTTGCATTAATTCAAGCCATAACTATAAATGCAGAATATGCAAATTCAGTTAAGAATAATATTATTTTCATGCAATAATGACATCTGATAAAAATGTGCACATTTTCCTTTATTTCATTGTCTATTTTTTTCTTCAATTATGTCTCAACATTTATCCATCAATCTTGAAGCTTGCAGAAGTATAATTTATTTTCCGATATAATAAAATCAAAGGCTTTGACAAGATCAGGATGAAAATAATAAGCAATCAACCATGTAAGTCAGACTTTAAGAGCACTTTGTGATAAAAGTGCTTATGTTTTTTCTATCAGAGGCAATTTTAATAGTATATTGTAAAATACATTTTCTATTAAGTAAAAAAATTGTGTGTTGTGCTGCTTTTTTCCAGTATCAATTTTTTGCAACTTTGATAGTATTATAATTTAAATGACAATCTTATATTTATCTTATTAATCTTTGCAAACAAAATTAAACAAATATATATTTAATGCAATATTTTCTTTGCAGAATGGAAAAAGATGTTGCTATTGAAATACTACTTGAAATAATGGGTTCTGCAATAAAGAATGATATTAAAGGAGAAGTTTTATTAAAATCGTGGTCCCAAAATTAAGATTTCTTTTAAGTTTATTTATATCTCAACATGTGTGTATGGTGTTGTATACACAAGTTGTTATTACAATGTTAATATTTTTAACTCTTAAAAATTTAGTTTTATACATTTTGGGTAGAACGTGTTAAATTTTATTAGATTGTTTGAAATTCTGTAGTTTCATAATTTATATTGCCCACACAAAAAAAAAATGTCCTTTATTTTAATAGTAATGTTCAGTAATAATGATTCGATCAATATCAGTATACATTTGTTAAAAAGTGTCTAAGTGATTTTTAATGTTTTATATATTCAAGTAATAAAGTATATATACCCTTACAGCTTCTAGTCAAATAAAACCTCTATTTATCAGGCTTAAATGTACATGTGTAATTGATAGTGAGTATTTCTCTAAATTCTAATATTAAACTTTTTCCTATTTTTGTTACATTGTAACAATCTAACAAATATAGATTATGTTTTAATTGTCTCTTAACTTTAATTCAGAGTTACAATTTTGTTGTTAACATATTTTCTTAGAAACTCCACAATATATTTTTGTGCTTGACAACTGTTTAAAACAAAACTTTCAATGTTTTTAGTATTAAAAATTTAGTTCTCAACACTTGACTTATGATCGCAAGTATATGAGTTAATATTTACACATCAAGATTTCTGATCCTTAAAACATAATGCATAATTAAAGCTTTCTTGTTAAAACAGCTGTAAGTTCACAGAGTATTAATTACCTATCTCATCTGCAATAATATTTCTTTTACTGAATCTTTTTTTGTGTGAAATTAATAAGAGAATTGGTGTTTTAAGGTTGGCATACATAAATACACGAATTTTAAAGAACACATTGCATCTGAATATTGAATGATAACTTTGCAAACATAACTAGAAGGAAAAATCAGCCTCAGCATCTTAAGACATGGCACGGTTCACTGACTTTCAGAGAAAAATCTTCACAAACAAAAAACCTACCCAATAATCTTGAGGTTTCTTTCTCGTCCAAGTACAAATTCAGATGTTGTTCAGAGTATGGTATAATCCATAACACCAGGGTAAGTCCAAAACTCGCCGATATAGGCGTCATTTTGCTCTGAAATCATTTGCTGTTATGAGAAATGAATACACAACTCTTTTGACAGCTACAGCTTTTTTCCAGGTCAACTGAGGTCATAGTCTCTAATGCCTGTTTGTTACATTATATATAAACGTGTTAATTATATGTGACATTCATAAAATTATATAGGTAAATATATTATATTTATTCTTATATCATTAGAAATGAATATTTATCTTAATACTTCATTTAAAGTTTAAGATTAGAGATTTCAAAATTTTAGCTATATCCCGTATGTGTGACGTGACGTGCTCCTATCTTAGGTATTAGGCTACTAATTATTTGAAGAGAGTTACTTCTGTGTACGTTTTCATTTATTTATTTAATGACAAACAGTGCATTTGGAGCAGAAAGTTTAATCTATGATACAATTAGGGAGACCGTACAATAACATTTTGTTTACTTACAAAATCTTCTAATTATCGAATGTTACATATTTGAAACCAATGGCTTACATTTTTATGTTGTTCAACAATAACTTGATAATTTTTTCACCACTTCCAACAACCCTATATATGTTTGCCCTGTAGTTTTTATTTGTTGTTCTGCTAATGCTTCAGTTTCCATTTAATTTCATAAATGCAAAGTGTTTTGAATTTATGTTTGTTGCAATTTGAAGCTTGGTCTTATATATTTCCAGTTTGATTTCATGAAACATAATTTGATGTCTGTCTCAGAATTAATTAATTGTTCACTAAGTACTGTAATCTTGATATAATTTGTAATTCGAGAAATCTTCCTCTGCATTTATAAAATTGAACTTTTTTATTGAATATGAATTTGTACTTCTTTTGCCTTAGTTAAACATATTTATTTTAGCTCGATTGCGAAACAAATTCTTGCAACTTATTTTAATCACTTTTCAGTCCGCTCCCTGGCACCAACAAGTTCTGGTGTCATATGAAGAAACATGGTCGTGACTAAAGTTGGGCTCGAACCCATGATCTCTGGGTTGAGAGGCTGACACCTTAACCACTAGGCCGCCGCTCCCCTACATGCCTTTATGAGATAATTATTATGACATTGTGTATTAGCATATGTAATACATGTATTATGAATTATAATTGTGATGAGGGACAAAAAAAATCCAAGAATGACCACTTATGAAGATTCGTTGTAATTTTGTATCTAGTTATATGTTTTTAACTGTAACTATGAAAATAGATTATGCAATAAAATTTCATCTACATGTAATGTATATAAACAATGTATGTGTAATGTGTAGGTAAATTATTCTGTAAAAAAATGAAATATTTAATTTTGTAGTTCTGTAAGTGGAATAATTAGTAAGCACATGGTTTGATTTGATATCAATTGATATGGTTTTGAAGGTGGATCTATCTAATACTACAGATTATTGGGTATGATAAAAGAAGCTTTGGGCTTAATAAGTGTTAAGAAGTTTTGGATTTGATAAGTGTTCAATCTGCCATGTCTGCTTTTCTGCTCTAACTTTTTTTATTGTTTATTCATTGAAGGCTTTACTAAAATGTCTATTTGGCTACCTACATATATCTTATCGGAGACTGTTTAATAAAAAAATAATATTTTCATGAAGAACAATAATGATTATGTAGAAGAAGGAAATGAAATATATAGCTACTTGTATCAATAAAATGAAAATTGAATGAAAATCCATAATGATATATCAATATATCATTTAGTATCACGAATGTTATAACGGGTTTTATCCAAACCGAATGTGTATCTTACAGCGTGTAAGTTTCACGAAAACGTTGTCGAAAAATGATCTAAATTTCTAAAATATATTGAACTAAAATACAGTCATGCCTGCAATAGAAGTGACAACGCCTATGCAGGTTGAAGAACCGAAAAATGAAGAAGAAAACTACAAAACACCAGTAATCGGTATTATCTATCCGCCTCCAGAAGTAAGGAGTATCCTTTTGATGTTTTTACCGGTTTGGTAAAGTTATCTCCCTTTTGTTTAGATCAAGATAAAGGCAAAAGCGAGCTCGATTTTCTTTTACCGTGAAATAGTATAAAATAATTGATCATTTTTATTTTACATTTTCCATGTTAAAATTGTCAATCGGTATATACACTGCTTCCGTTTATTCTGGTTCCCTGTCCTATTATGATTCCAAAATAATTGCACAGGACACCAGTCTACGCTATCGTTTTCAATCAGAATACTTCGGATTTTATTGTTATCTTGAAATTTGAAAAGTTGCGATTTGTCAATTCGGTACATCGGACAAAAGTTTTCAAAACAATCATATCTAGCAGGTACTCGCATTACCGTAAGCTCGCTTCGAGCTCGCTAATTACATGAAGTTAGGCAAAGCCTATGATCGGGAAAGTTGGTTAAAATAAATGTTCATTTTTATTTTTTATTTTACATTTTCTCTTTTAAAGATGTAATTCGGTATTATATGCACTGCTTCCTTATACATGTATCAAACATGTGAACTTTTTTTGATGATCAAGTGGGAGATTTTTCTTCAAAAAGAGGGAGATTTTAAAATTTACATTAAATAAAGAAGGAAATTCTGACATTAAAAAAGGGAGATTTCTTTAATTTGTGAAAATACCCCTTATTTTATGATAAATCTTTGAAAACATGGCTGCAGAAAGTGGGAGTCTCCCGCTAAAAGTGGGAGAGTTCACATGTATGATGTAATATGAAATTAGGTGCTACCTGTGGCGCGGAAAGTTCTGATGATTGTACATGTAAACTAGATCTTTAGTACTGTAAACAAAACAAATAAATTGGTGGTGTTCAACCTATCGTCGGAGAGCTCGGAATATTCCGACAATCTCAGAACGTAAAGGGGACCACTGTGCACGCGTCGGCGTTTGGAAAATCCTGTCCGCCATTTTTTTGTTAATCTCTAATTACAGTTGTTGTTTTAAATAACGTTATTTTTAATGTGCTAATTTATCAAAAAGGATATGTAAAGTAACTTTTTATATTTATAATCGTTACTATAGTTCTTATCAATTAAATGCATGTTTACTTTCAAATTTTGCACATCATTCTCTCACTGGAAGTGTTATTTAGCAGACGCTAGCAATAGTCTAAATTATGTAGACGCTCATTAAAAGGGCTCTAATATCTATATTTAGCTCAAAAGGATTTCAAAATGGCGGCGCCCAGTTAACTAAGGATTTTTTCACAGCTCATTAGGTATAGGATATATTTTTTTGAAATTTTCATTTACTTTTAATTTGATATCATTTGAATTGATACGCGTCATACATGTTATCTAAGAGCGCTACAGCCCTCGCGGGGCCTTCGGCCCCGCTCGGACTTTCCGCGTATTATGACTCCCAAATAGAAGTCTGCAGGGGACCAGTCTACGCATCCGTTTTCAATCAGAATTCCTAGGCTTTTATAGTCATCGTGTAAGTCGAAAAGTTGCGATTGGCTATTATCGGAATACACCGCCGTTTATGCTTTATCATTGCGTCAAGGCGCCCAACAAGAAATTTTGCTGAAAATTTTCGCTGATATGTATAGAATTCTCTATATTTTTTTTCTTTTTTTTTTCTTTTTAAATAAACACTTGCAGTCTATAGCCGGGCTAGGCAAAGCCCAGAGCCGCTTCGCGGCCCCTAACTTTGACTTCCCTGCTCTAGGAGCCTAAAATTAATAATTCTGTAGTGTAAAGCATTTGGGTACACAATAATGTTTCTTTGTTGTTTTGGCAATCTCCTGTAATTTATACACGTAACTTGTTCTACTTATTTTGCCATAGATACATCGAAATAATGTTCTTATAAATGGTTTTTCATAATTTCCCAACCACAGTTGTTAGGCCCGTTGATTGGTCACTAATGTGAAAAAGAAAAAAATATATAGTTAGTAAAGGTATTCAACTCACCTCACCGCTCATTTGTTAGCACTCATGTTAACAGAGCTCCAGATAATTTTTTTGGCCAAGGGGTTTTTACCCCTCAAAATTTAGAGTGAGGGGTAAAATGCAAATTCTGAAAAACTTAAGGGGTAAAATCTGTCAAAAAATTTTTTAGACTTACTGTTCAATCTGCCATGCATTTTTGCATTTTTTATAAACAAATTAAACTAATTGTTGTGTTTGTTTGTTTGTTTATTTTCTTTTTTTAGAAAAACCTTTACAAATTAAATACTGATTTAATGTGAAACAATACAAAACATGCCATGTAAAGTCAGACTTCCAGAGTATACTGAAACTCAAGTTTAGGATACACAGCAAAATTATCAGGGCTTCCATTTTCAAAATTTGGAAGTCAAAGACTTCAAAATCTCTGATATTGGAAGTCACATTATATAGGTAAAGAAGGAAAGTATTGATTTTTGGAAGTCACAGGCCAATTGAAGGAGTAAAAGACTCCCAAACTTCCACTAGTGGAAGCCCTCAAGTTATTTTATTTTCTAGGAGTCAATATTTTTCTTTCTTTATTTTTGTTGGCATGTACCTTATCATGTTCTCCAGTTTTAACAATTATAGTTGAAATTAGAATTAAAGAAACATAAACAAGATTTCATTAAAAAATTATTGGTCTGAGAGAAAATTGTCCGTAACTGTAGACTGGGTACGAAAATATTGAGTACAAAACTGCAGGTGAATAACATGTTATTTTGTTCCAACAAATAAAGTTAAAGAAATTAAAATATATTTTTGTTTATATTGAGGCATAAGTATGTTAATAGATGCCTAAACAAACTTAATACTGTGTTAACTCCTACGATGATTATCTGGCACAAATTTCATCAATAATTTCACAGGTTGATAGATCTACGGGAGTTACCTCCCTTCTGTATTTCCTGCTACTTTCGTTTTTAACATGCGTTGTTGACAACAGAATTTTTAGTTTTCAATGCAATTAAATGGAAATATATTGTATTTTATGCTCAAAACATTTTCTTTCTACATATCAAATGTTTACACTTCTATTCTTTTACGCATAAATTTTGACATACGAGCGTATTTTCATTTTGTTGTGCGTAACTGTGACGCACGAATTTTGAAAGTGATGCGTATTTTAGATTTTCTATGCGTATTTTACGCTTATACGCACGCTAACTGGAGCTCTGTGTTAATGAGAATTCCTTAACTCAAACATTTTTTCACAAAATTTCACAATACCAAATAAAAGGGAATTGATTACTCTTAAAGGAAATAAAGCTGTCATTTCAATGATTTCCAGTAATAAGTAAATAATTTATCTTGAAGTCACAGCAAGTGAGAAACTACAAAGATGTGACTGCCAGGTTTTTGTGAAAATTAATTAACTGAACAGAACTTCATTTAAAATGATTGAATAATTTGTTGTATGATTGAGTTAAATTATTATTTGTAATAACTGTTCAATCAAATCATCATATGAAACTATATAACAAACCCTCTTTCTTTTTGATATGTTAAATACTGAAAGTAACTGGTTCAGCAGATTGGCCAATGGCTCCCCTTTATTTTCATATGTAGTATTTTTTATTGGTCATGTGAAAACTTCAGACCAATGAAAATACTCTGTACAAAAATTAGATATTGAAAATTGTAATAAACTATGTTCTATTGATTTTTAGAAGAATTGAAGCATACTTTCTCTTTTTAGTGAAATAATAAAAATATATGGCAACTTGTCTACTGCCAATATTGATGATAAATTTTACATTCATGAAAATGACAGTTAAAATTAAGTGTAACTGTTTGACAGTTGTAAAAAAGTCTGTAAAATAAGTCAAACCCTAGCTAACAGATAGCTTGATAAGCATATTATATTTTTTCACTGGTCTATGTTTTAATGCATACTGACCAATGTGTTGTTTGCTTGCAAATTAACTGCAGAAACGTAAGATCTTAACTGTGAAAAAAGCCTAATATGATGTTACAACCAACATTATTTCAATAATTGTAAAATGTGAGACCAAAAACATATATTTTGTAATTAAAAAAACTGAAAAGTTTGACATTTTGTATTTATGAGTATAGTTCTTGTTCAAGAATTCTAATCTCTATCTATCCTTTACTTAATGAAAAGATATTGTTGACAAAACTGCTAGTTTCGTTGCTAGAAATGGACCCGAGTTTGAGTCTCGTATTAGACAGAATGAGCAGAACAATTCAAAATTCAACTTCCTGAATCCAGCTGATCCTTACCATGCCTATTACCAGCACAAGGTCAAGGAGTTTAGGGAGGGGAAAGGTATGTACTAATTTCTAGCAAGACAGTTTATGGTGGTAAATTCAACAATGACAATTTGTTTTAACAATATTCATGGTAAAACACTTCATAAACCATTTATATCTCTAGTTTCATGATGAATTCCATCAGCAGGCTTTGACCTTTGAAATAAAATTTTAAAAAGAACTGTTTACTAGTAAGTCTTATGTCATCTTTAAAGTTAGATGTAAGAATTTAGTTTGAAATTTTGATAACATTTTAAATGAAGACCTGATTTTAATCAGGTAATAATTTAATTGAACAGTCAATGTTATGAAATAATGGAAGAAAGATCATAAGATGTGGTAAATTAAAGTAATGTTTTTATTATTCCTTTTCAAACTGTTATGTGTAATTATTCTGTATATTACAAGCAAACAGTGGCTGCCTCTTAGAAGAGCCTTTTTACTGCCTTAAACAGTTAATCTTGAGCTGTATATTTCTAGATGTTCTGGCAGGTGTTCTAAGATTACTCTGTTGTACAATACTGGCCTTTCTTTTGTTATGTCTTAAAAGACAAGTCTTAAAAAAAGAACATTAAAAAAATTCTAAGAGCTAGAATTTGAGTAAAAACTTAATCATCACAAAAGCAGTATGTTTATATGTATTTCATTACATGATAACATTTGGTTCCTTTTTTTAGCTCACCTGTCACAAAGTGACAGGGTGAGCTTTTGTGATCGCTTTTCGTCCGTCGTCTGTCCGTCGTCCGTCCGTCGTCCGTAAACTTTTACTTTAAATGACATCTCCTCATAAACCACTAGGCCAATTTCATCCAAACTTCACAGGAATGTTCCTTTGGTGGTCACCTTTAAAAATTGTTCAAAGAATATAATTCCATGGAGAACTCTGGTTGCCATGGCAACCGAAAGAAAAAACTTTAAATATCTTCTTTTAAAAAACCCTAAGAGCTAGAGCTTAGATATTTGGCATGAAACATCTTCTAGTGAGTGTCTACCAAGTTTGTTCAAATAAAAGCCCTAGGGTCAAAATTGGCCCCGCCCCAGGGGTCATTGATTTTCCCTATATGCATATAGTAAAAACTTAAAAAATCTTCTTTTAAAGAACCCAAAGAGCTAGAGCTAAGATATTTAGCATGAAACATGTTCTAATAAGTGTCTACCAAGTTTGTTCAAATAAAAGCCCTGGGGTCAATATTGGCCCCGCCCCAGGGGGTCATTGATTTTCCCTATATGCATATAGTAAAAACTTAAAAAATCTTCTTTTAAAGAACCATAAGAGCTAGAGCTAAGATATTTAGCATCAAACATGTTCTAATAGGTGTGTACCAAGTTTGTTCAAATAAAAGCCCTGGGGTCAAAATTGGCCCCACCCCGGGGGTCATTGATTTTCCTTATATGTGTATAGCAAAAACCTAAAATCTTCTTTGAAAAAGCCCAAATAGCTAGAGTTTAGATATTAAGCATGAAACATCTTCTAGTAAGTGTCTACAAAGTTTGTTCAAATAAAAGCCCTGGGGGTCAAACATGGCCCTGCCCCAGGGGTGTCATTGTTTTTAACTATATGTGTGTGGTAAAAACTTAAAAAATCTTCTTTGAAAAAACCAAATAGCTAGAGTTTAGATATTAAGCATGAAACATCTTCTAGTGAGTGTCTACAAAGTTTGTTCAAATAAAAGCCCTGGGGACAAAATTGGCCCCGCCCCAGGGGTCATTGATTTTCCTTATATGTATATAGCAAAAACTTAAAATCTTCTTTGAAAAAACCCAAATAGCTAGAGTTTAGATATTAAGCATGAAACATTTTCTAGTAAGTGTCTACAAAGTTTGTTCAAATAAAAGCCCTGGGGTCAAACTGGCCTCGCCCCAGGGGTGTCATTGTTTTTAACTATATGTGTATAGTAAAAACTTTAAAAAAACTTCTTTTAAAAAGCCCAATGAGCTAGAGCTTAGATGTTTAGCATTAAACATCTTCTTATGGGTGTGTGTGTGTGGGGGGGGGGGGGCTATATACAGGTGAGCGACCTCAGGGCCATCATGGCCCTCTTGTTTTGCTTTACAGGTCAAGAACCCCAGGTTCCTAAAGGTCAAGGTTTAGGCTTGAGTAAGCCATTGGAGGTTGCTAAGATTATACAAGAGCCAGTTATACCCACAGAGCCACCTCCTGAGTTTGAGTTTATTGCAGACCCTCCTAGCATCTCAGCTTTTGATTTGTAAGTATGTTTCAAATTTAGAAGAAATGTAAAGTCAATGAAATTTAGCCATGTTTTTTTTATATGAACTCAAACAGAAAGTTAAGACAAGGAAAGGATAACAAAGCATGTGCCTTGATACTAGATTTCTGCTCCCAGTGATTTTTCCCCCTATATTTTACAGCTGTATAAAGACTGTTTCCCCTAGCCCAAAATAAATTTGTTTTCCGCTGAAAATGCTACATTTGCCCCTGAAATGCCCTGTGCACGTTCTTCACCAGAACCATGACTTAACAGCAGCTGACATATCAGCTAGTTGATAAATTTAATTGAGTGAAATACAGAAAGCTGTCCCTATAGATAGTCTTTCAGTGTGCTATGTACCATGCATTTTAAATTGAATTGAAATTAAAAATTTAATAAAATGTGTGTAAATTCCATTCTCAGAGTTCTGAAATTGATTTCAGCTAACCCCCTTTTTCTGGAATATTATGATATATTTTCCCCTTCAGAAAGCCACAGATTGTTTTGAAAATAAAAATATCACTGGCTCCCTTACAAATGGAAAATGTTTCATAACAGTGTTGTGCTGATTTAAAACTGAAAAAAAGAAATGAATAAATGTACATATCTAATATTGTATATCATGGTTGTCTGTATTTCAGAGATGTGGTGCGTTTGACTGCCCAGTTTGTAGCAAGAAATGGTCGACAATTCCTGACCAATCTGATGAATAGGGAACAGCGTAACTACCAGTTTGATTTCCTGAGACCGCAGCACAGTCTGTTTAACTACTTCACCAAACTTGTGGAACAATATACAAAGGTTTGGACTCATTTTTGTATTGACTTTTCAAACTGTCTGTATTATATTAAGTTCATGAAAAAACATTAACTTCCTGATTTCTCCAATGTGATCTTGATCCGTACTTTGCATAACTGATGTTTCATGAACAGAAATTAAAGAAATATGCTTTAAATATGTCTGAATAAGAGTTTAAGAAAAAAAATCACAAAGTTGTAAGAAAATTTACTATAAAGATCATTTGAAACAAGTAGTGTTGGGGTTATAAAAAAACTTGGAGACTGTATGGACAATAAGGCCAATTATCCATGTTCCTGAAAAAATCCACAAAGGAGCATCTTAGTTCTTTCTTCACCAGGAAAGCGTTGTAGATTTGAGTCTCCTAATGAATGAGAAAGCTTTTCAGCTAGCTTATAGAATGTTGATTCTACTCAGGTTCCTGTTTGTGCCTGAAATATTGTACAGAGGGGCACTTGATGTCTTTCTCCACCAGTAAAGCTGGAAAATCACCATGACCTATACTGTGTTGGTGCAACATTAAACCCAACCATCCAACAACCAGGAAAGATTAAAAGTCACAAAATGACCATTGCAATGTTGATGTGACTTAAGACCTAAAATTAAAAAATTATACATGTATGTAGTAATATCAGTGTTTGCCCTTCTTAAGATTGGTTCAAAACGGTTACCATGAAATTGCAATAGTTATAGAAATTCTTTATTTGCCTGTTACTGAAAATTGTTGATTTTCATCCCCACTTGTACTTATTTTCATAAGAAAATTTAATTAGCAGACTTAGACTCATTCCCAAAAAAGGGTGTAGGAAAAACACTATACTGATATTTAGATGAAAACCATGTAAGAAACTATACATGTTTATATATATTATATACATATTCATTTTTACTGTTACAGGTGTTAATTCCACCCAAAGATTTACTGGTCAAGTTAAACAAGGAGTCGGAGGTATATCAGAATGTTTTAGATCAAGTAAAGTATCGTGTAGACTGGGCCAGGTACCAGGAAATGCAGCGACGGAAAGAAGAGGAGGCTGCTGAAAGGGAACGAGGTAAAGTTTGATACTTCACTGCATTTAGATTATATTCAAACTTTCAAATTATGCATTTAAAATAAATGGTGTGAACGAATTGGATTTGCATTAAAATGGTGAGAAAGAATTTTTTAATTAAAATAGAATTATACATGAAAAATATTAAAAGATAGAAAAATTGGCATATTTTCAGGCGAAATATGTTAAGTATTGGACTACTTTCAATTTGTATACTAATTTGAATAGATAATGCATTGTTACTTTCATTTAGTATGTTTCATTCAACATCTTGATATTCAACATGTTTCTTTTGAAATATAATACTTTTTTGTCAGGTATCATAATGTGCTTAAAATGTCCATACAGCATTGCCCACTTTTAATGTTTGTCTGTAAATGAACAACCAGACCCATTTATGTAAAGTGGAGGTAAACTTGGTGCTTCTGCTAAATATACTAAAATTAGATAATGAAATATGAGCCGTGTCACGACAAAACCAACATAATGGGTTTGCGACCAGCATAGATCCAGACCAGCCTTCGCATCCGCACAGTCTGATCAGGATCCATGCTGTTCGCTTTCAGTTTCTCTACTTGTTATAGAGTTTGTAAACGAACAGCATGGATCCGGATCAGACTGCGTGGATGCGCAGGCTGGTCTGGATCCATGCTGGTTGCAAACGCATTATGTTGGTTTTGTCGTGATGCTGCTCATATGCCTGTGGATATTGTTATTTAAGTCTTTAAAAAGAGCAACAGCATACTTTACTGATGTTTGTATATAAGTTACTTATTCTTGCACGATAAATAGGCAAAATTACATTAAGAATTAAAGACTACTTACATAATACTTTCAGACTACTGACAGGCATTGAAAGGAGTAAACAGGTCTGATTTTGTGATAAGGAAATCTCAAACCGAGTGCAGAATCAAATTATGTTTTCAAATCTGTTTTGTTATGAGTACTGGCATGCGAGCAGTTCCCGTACAAAAATCATAGATACTTAATCATTATTTTTTATTACGCTCACTCACCAATATTTGAATGTTACACATCAATATTCGGCTCGTCACACAAATCATGGAAATTCCATCATGTTCTAAACATAGAATAACCCTTACTTATGAGGCCTCATATGGGGTACCAAAATAATCCATTATTTTGTATGAAAAGAAGTAGTTCCTGTACATAAAATCTAACCCATTATAATTATACAATTTTATTATATCGGGCCTATTTTTCATTTACAATTGTTGAACAGACCATTATCTAAGAGATAAATAGATGTAATTCAGGAAATAGAGCGTAGACTAAACGCGGGTATCTATTACCTGGTACCGTTAACCCAACGCATTCATGTGCAGTAACATGCTTGTATGCATGATATTTTACGCATTAAAGCATAAAATTATTATTTATACATGTTATAGTAATATTGGTCAACATTATGATAATTAAACAAGTTTTCATCACATTGCCTATTTATTTGTAAACAGGTGGTATTAGTGGGAAACCCTTTAACAAGCCTCACGTGTAAGTATTTTTGCGCATACGCGCAAGGACGGAATCCCCCAGAGAAAACAAGGTCACGTTTTGACGACGCACAGGTGAAAGTGATTTAAAAAGAGACTTTATATACGTACTGCCGAACTGACACTTAGATTTTGTCTCGTTTATGTATCTGCTTGATTTGAAATGAATTTTTGAAGAATGCAAGTAAAAATCAAGCGTTTAAATGAAAAATACGGGTACTGCTTCTGTACGGGAACTGCTCGCATGCCAGTATAGGTTTTAAAAAATCCACAGGAGAAACATAGAGTCTTTGCACATCTAAAATGAAATGTGATATAAATACTACTAATGAACTTGCTTGCTTACCTATTCATGTAATACATTTCTTGTTTTCTCTATTTTTAGTTGCCTATACACAGATAGATTGGCATGATTTTGTTGTGGTGGAGACTGTAGATTTTCAGCCCAATGAACAAGGTACAAATAACTATCATGATAGTAGACATATTTCTACTGTTGTAGTTAAAGGAACTCCACTGGGGTCCAAAAACCTAAAAATATAAAATTTGAATTTATTTTTTACATAGATCAGATGTCACACTTTATGCAGAAAGATATGATAAAATATAATTAAGAAATATAATCAGAAATATATTGAAAATCATATTTTTGTGCTATTCTTTGCCCAACTGGAGTGAAAAATGGTGTACTGCTTTTCATTTTTGGGTCACTTTCACAATTATGATAATTATTGTGAAAAAATGGAGTGAGCAAATGATCTGAAATTATGCAAAAAAATTACATATGTAGACCTACATTAAATATAACATAAATTATATCCACACCCGTCATGTCAAAAAACTTTGGTGGAGTCCCTTTAAAGTATTTCTGTATGTTAGATTGAAAGTGAAACACATTGTTTATAGTTAAAGTTCTTTCCTGAGATTCTTATTTTGTACTTGTGGTTATTGACATTTATTAAAGACAAAACACAGCTAACAGAATGTCAGTGGTTCTACTTTGGTGCCAGCTTGTGACTGAAATAATAGGTGGCTGGGCACCAGAGGTGGTCTGCTTCCATCAAAAAAATTTGAAAGTTGTCACATGACATTAACAGTGCTGAATTGGCTTGGAAACACAACAAAACTTTACATGATTAAAGTCATATGAAGAGCTTTTTAGCTCACCTGTCACAAAGTGACAGGGTGATCTTTTGTGATCGCAATTTCGTCAGGCGTCCATCCGTCAACTTTTACTTTAAATAACATCTGCTCATAAACCACTGAGCCAATTTCATCCAAACTTCATAGGAATGTTCCTTTGGTGGTCACTTTTGAAAATTATTCAAAGAATTTAATTCCATGCAGAACTCTGGTTGCCATGGCAACAAAAAGAAAAAACTTTAATTATCCTCTTCTAAAAAACCAAAAGAGCTAGAGCTTAGATATTTGGCATGAAACATCTTCTAGTGAATGTCTACCAAGTTTGTTCAAATAAAAGCCTTGGGGTCAAAACTGGCCCCGTCCCAGGGGGTCATTGATTTTCCCTATATGCATATAGTAAAAAACTTAAAAAATCTTATTTTAAAGAACCCAAAGAGCTAGAGCTAAGATAATTAGCATGAAACATCCTCTAATGGGTGTCTACCAAGGGTGTTCAAATAAAAGCCCTGGGCTCAAAACTGGCCCCGCCCCAGGGTGTCATTGATCTTCCCTATATGCATATAGTAAAAACTTAAAAAATCTTCTTTTAAAGAACCCAAAGAGCTAGAGCTAAGATAATTAGCATGAAACATCCTCTTATGGATGTCTACCAAGTTTGTTCAAATAAGAGCCCTAAGGTCAAAATTTGCCCAGCCCCGGGGGTCATTGATTTTCCTTATATGTGTATAACAAAAACTTAAATAATTTTCTTTGAAAAAAAACAAAAAGCTAGAGTTTAGATACTAAGCATGAAACATCTTCTAGTGGGTGTTTACAAAGTTTGTTCAAATAAAAGCCCTGGGTCAAAATTGGCCCTGCCCTGGGGGTCATTCATTTTCCTTATATATGTATAGCAAAAACTTAAAAAATCCTCTTTGAAAAAACTCAAATAGCTAGAGTTGAGATATTAAGCATGAAACATTTTCTAGTGAGTGTCTACAAAGTTTGTTCAAATAAAAGCCCTGGGGTCAAAATTGGCCCTGCCCTGGGGGACATTGATTTTCCTTATATATGTATAGCAAAAACTGAAAAATCTTCTTTGAAAAAACCCGAATAGCTAGAGTTAAGATATTATGCATGAAACATTTTCTAGTAAGTGTCTTAAAGATTGTTCAAATAAAAGCCCTGGGGTTAAAACTGGCCCCTGTTTTTAACTATATGTGTATAGTAAAAACTTAAAAAATCTTCTTTTAAAAAGCCCAATGAGCTAGACCTTAGATGTTTAGCATGAAACATCTTCTAATGGGTGTCTACCAAGTTTGTTCAAATAAAAACCCTGGGGTTTAAGCTCGCCTATATACAGGTGAGCGACTTCAGGGCCATCATGGCCCACTTGTTAAATATAATCATTTCTTGGAACCTTACATTCACTTTCAGTACAAAATGAACAGGTTTTCCACATTGTCTAAGTTTATTATAAAAATTTAATTTTTCCATGAAAATACATTTAAAACAGAATGTAGAATTGTGCCATAAAATCAAAAGTATCCGCTTATGAAAGGTGCATGGTAATCAGGATCAAAACAGTGGTTTGGTATTGATTCTATTGTTTAGTAGATAAATTGGTAAAATTTTGTTTGCATGCTCAAGCTATAGTTTTAATCCATGATATGCATTTCAGGAAACTTGCCCCCACCTACCACTCCAGATGAAGTTGGTGCACGTGTGCTGGCTCAAGAACGACATGGAAAGAGAGGGGTAAGTTATAAATTAACATGTCACTTATTGAGCTAGTTAAATTAATATTTCCAGGGCTGGGAATCAAAACTGCGTCGTATCCTACAAAATGTAAACAAACGCCGCCATCTTGGAACGAAAAATGTATGTTTTTGTTAATAACTCTTTTTGTTGGAAATGACTGAAAACCAGATATATGTATTAACACGCTACACTATTTTCCGCTTCGTTCGGTATATGTTGCTTAGACAACTATTTTGTAAAACAAAAGTTATAGCGAACTTGCAACTCGAAGCGGAGCAGAATTTTTATGAAATTGTGTGGATACGACGCAGTTCATATTGCTTTATCTATCGTTTCTCCTTCAAATCAATTATATATTTGTTTCAGAGTTCACCATAAACTTCAAAACATAATTTTGCATCATTTACTAAATTTCCATTAAAAAGAGATGTTTATTTTCCAAGAAAATAATGATTTTTACGAAATGATACGACGCAGTTGAAAATAAAATATGATACGACGCAGTTGTATTTTCATTGCAGGCTGCATATTGGTTTTAAACTATTTAAATTATGTGCTAGGTATGCTAATAACGTCCAACAACATTTCTTGTTTACAACTTAAGTCAAAAGCAGAGGTCACTCATTGGTTCCATAAAAATGGAAATGTAATACAATTCTATTAAGGCTGCATTTAAGTACCTATCATATTGAGCATCTACAAATTCCGAAAAACTGTATCAAATGCAATATACATTGTGCAATAAACACGTGATCGCACACCCATATGACAACGTGTTCCAGTGTTGCCTTAGCATGCTTCTAAAATTGTTCCCGTGAGTTCGAAATGGGAGTGATTACTACTTTTGATACAAAGTTCAATATTCCAGTGTAACCTCTCCTGAACCCTGTACTAGTATTAATCAGGAATGACCTTTTTTTAAAAAAAGAAAAAGAGAGAAAGAATTACAAATTTTGAAAAGGTCTCTTGCTATCGGAAGAGAGCTATGCGCAAATTGCATGCCTACCTTTGTTACTTGTAATGAGCAATAATTTCCGTCAATTCCGTTATTACTTATGTCTTTTACGTGCCGATTTTATTGTATTCATTTTCTTAATAATCGGTGATAACAGATGACCTTTATTATTTAAAACTGAAACATTAAATTTTTAAAATTATATTATAAATGGTTAAGCTACAATATATTTTTGCAAGTAGGTTATGCGTTCCGTTTAGTCATTTTATGTTCAGCGCCGCGGAACTTTACCTCTGATTTTGTCGTATTGCATTTCTTTATCGCCGATGAGGAAAGGTCTACGGAATGTATTTTCTATATTTGCACTTAAGTATCATTCTTCTCCATTAAAAACTTTAAATTTTCAAAATCGTGTTACATATGATACAACTACAGATTATTTTGTAAAGAAGGTGTCCGTTTTGCAAAGGTATTTTACGCTGTGCACCGATAAATTTGATACAGATATAGGCAGACATGATCTTTCAACAGTATTAAAGAAGTTTTCATAATATTAAACAGAAAATTAAGGTCAGATTATCGCATCGAATTTTCAACAGACTAAAGCTCTACATGGCATCTTAACATACCTTCATACTAAAATGTGATTTTTATTTGATAATGAATTGCCTGAAAACTTAAACAAAGGTTTTCAGAAAAGGACTTCACAGAGGATTACCCCCTGTTTACATTGAAAATTTCTCTACTAGTCATACCGAAATAAGAAATTTAATTGTTATTCTCTTTATAATTAATTCAAATATTTATAATCTTATAACTTCACGCCAGAAGTTATTAAAAAAAGCTGCTTATTTGTACAGCTGACGTTAACAAATTTTGTTGAAAAAACAAATCAGAAAGGTGTGTCCGACCGTGGCCGAGCTGTTTATGTTTACTGAATTCAAATCACTTGACCTGAACTGCTATGAATTCAAAAACCACCAGGGACTTTTTATTCTTTCGTGTGGAAAACCTATGAAGCTAGTTTCAAAATGTCGATGGTTCTCTGCAGGTGCAACATTTTGCCTGAAATAATGCACAAAGGCGCACCTGAGGTCCTCGCCCCTAATAAAGCTAATGTGTAGAGTGAAAGTTTGAAAACAAACCACAAAAAAGCAGCCATTACCCAGAACATGCAGAACCACAGTTAACTTAGAGCGTAGCTAGCCAACATGAATTCAAGTTAATAGATTTCTATATTTTTTGGCGAAAAAAATTAGGGATAATATTGAACCGACAGGAAAATATAAAAAAATATTTCAGATATTATGATCAATTAGGTAACATGTTTAACTGAAAAGTAGCTTCCGCAATATAAACTTTCAAATAACATGTTATATTGGACATGACACAATGTATTCTAAATAATCAAAAGCAACAGAAAATTGCTATACACCGCAAATGATCTGGGTTTTTTTTTATCTAGCGCAAGTGATTATTCAATAAAATAGAAATATTTTGCCAAAATTATCTCTGTTGAAAAGACTGCCAAAAATACAACTGCCTCGTATCATATTTTATTTTCAACTGCGTCGTATCATTTCGTAAAAATCATTATTTTCTAAGAAAATAAACATCTCTTATTAATGAAATTTTAGTAAATGATGCAAAATTATATTTCGAAGTTTATGATGAACTCTGAAACAAATATATAATTGATTTGAAGGAAAAAATGATAGATAAAGCAATATGAACTGCGTCGTATCCACACATTTTCATAAAAATTCTTCCCCAACTTCGAGATGCAAGTTCGCTATAACTTTTGTTTTACAAAATAGTTGTGCAAGCAACATATACCGAACGAAGCGGAAAATAGTGTAGCGTGTTAATACATATATCTGGTTTTCAGTCATTTCCAACAAAAGAAGTTATAAACAAAAACATACGTTTTTCGTTCCAAGATGGCGGCGTTTGTTTACATTTTGTAGGATACGACGCAGTTTTGATTCCCAGCCCTGATTTCAAGCATTGCCATAATAAAGAAAACATTCTATTTAGTTTATCTGAGGATAACGAAAAAGCGTCAACTGATATTGATCTTTGTTCGTACTTTCTGATATGAAGTCACTTTTTTCCAGTTTTCTTGGCTAAATTGAACTTTAAACTCTGTTTTAATGTCAGTGACAAAAATAACAGAAAAAAGAAACTTTCTGTTAGTTTGTAGTATTTGTAATCTCTAATACAAGCATGCATAACACCATGATCCCATTTTATGACACATATTAAATGTTTTTCATTGTATCTACTGTCAAAGTCAATCAATATATCGTTAATATTTGTCTCTCGACATATTGGTACAAAATTTTCCATCAATGACAGCCCTAGATATTAACTAAATTCAGTATATAAATTGACTGATATATCCTGATATTAACTAAATTCAGTGTATAAATTGACTGACATTGATATGAATATATAAATTTAAAACAGACGGAGGATGAGATGGATGTGGAGTCCGGCGAGTCGGAGTCGGAGGACGAGGATTCTGACGAGGAAGATGAGGAGGAAGAGGTACAGAGGATGACAAATAGACCGCCAATGCCGACACAGGTATGTCTTGGTGGAGTAGGAACGATATTATATATTTACAATGATTTTTAAGCTAGTAGTTTAGATGGTTTTAGTTTTCACAAACAAAGCTCTTAATCTTGTACAAGTTCTTTTCCCTGTTATACATAGCAACCTGTATAAGTGTTCCACTGACTTAAATATTGCTTTCTGTATTACATGTGAAAACGAGAATAAGTATTTCATTTTTTGATCAGGGCCAAATCTGTTTTTGACTAACTTGTCTGTTTTATCAGATTTATTTCTTTTCTTGTCCGTGATTTATTTCTTTTCTTGTCTGTATGATATTTATAAAGTAAATTCTTGTAAAATTTTACTTCAAAGTACTGGCTGTGGAACAAACTGGGCAATACCGCAAATATTGATTTTGCTGCCCATGCTGAAATTTCCATAGTTTGATTTAGTATGATAAATGGTTTGCAGTTTTATTCAATATTTCTGAAATTGAAGCAAATGGCTTGAATTGAGATTAGAGTGTAACTTATGCCTGTGAAATTGGAGTGTAACTTATGCCTGTGAAATTGGAGTGTAACTTTTGCCTGTGAAATTACAGTGTAACTTTTGCCTGTGAAAATGAAATAAATCATACTACTCCCTTAAAATGAGAGTAAAACAAATACTAGAAAGATAAGTTACACTAGCAATTGCAAATTTTCGAATGCCCTAGAACACGCAGAGTTGTGCACTCAGCACAAGAAAATAAGCATTTTCCTGCCAATATTCATACGCTGTATAAATATGCAGAACACAAGCAGACGACAGTTTGCTGACTTTGAAACGGAAATAATCATATATATTGTATAACTATCAGATGATGGAGGATTCTGATGAGTCATCAGACGAGGACGAAGAAGATCAGGACAAAGATCGTCAGGAGATTCGACCTCAACAAAGAATGCCGCAGAGGCCACCACCAGTGCCTGCCATGCCTCCACCGCCACCACCCAGTGAGATACCACAGCCTCCATTACCACCAACACCAGATCAGGTGGTCATCAAGAAAGGATATGATCCAAAAGGTTAGTCAGTCTAATTTTCTCACAGGTTAGTCAGGTTGGTTTTCTCAAAGATTAGTAAATCTGGTTTACTATAAAATTAGCCTGGCTTTCAAAGGTTAGTTTGTCTGGCTTTCCCATTGATTTCATATTATAATTTTCTGGTATAAAGGGTTGAGTGCTAAAATTTTGTTATTAAAGAATAAAAAAGGGAAGACCACAAAGCATTCCTTTTCATTTTCCTGCAGATATTACATTTTCCAGCTGAAAATGTATAGTTACTTGCCCTTAGATACCAATATTGACTGACTTACTACATGATTATTTTTACACTTCTAGAGTTTGGTGTGTTCATTCTTCAATATTTTGTATAAAATATAAATATATATATACAGTCTCACTTGGAAGTGTAATATTTTCTATATTTAGTCACACCAAAACATTTTCTTTACACCTTACATCATATTATAAAGTTCTTACATTAAAAGATATAATATTATAAAATATTTTGTATGACTATTATTTAACTATGACAACATGAGAAATCTTAATCAGATAAACAATTTTTGCTATATCAAAATTATTAATTTAACTTCATTTCAAACAATGAGATATGACTTATTTCACATTGATATGAGTAAATATCTCGTCAAAAAAATCAGAAGAAAATACAGTATTGTGTAATCCATTTTCAGCAAGAACTATCCAGCCAGAGGCACCTAGTGAGCAGTTCCTGGTATCTCCTATCACTGGTGAGAAGATCCCAGTAGACAAAGTACAGCAGCACATGAAGATTGGTGAGTATACATTTATACAAACACATTACTGACCCATTAAATTACTTGTTAAACTAGATAAGTTTATTGAATGTTACATGACATGTTCCAGCATGATTTATGCACCCTGGATCCTGGACCCCTGGGGGCCAACTGTTTTCTCCATGTAATTGTGAGTACAATCAACTTTGACATAGCTACACACCTTTAAACATAAAAATTGCATTGTTTTTAACACTGTCCCCATTTGGTAAATATTTACAACCAGAGTTTTAAAGTTGTATTGATGCTATGTACATTCCAGTTTGTATATATAAAATGCAGAAACTTGAAACAAATATAAAGATGTAATACTCATTGACTCTGTTTATATGTTTCAGTGACACACAAGAAAAAAGAAAGAAAAAAATTTTGTTTCGCAATTATTATGCCCCCATTTCGAAGAAAAGGGGGTATATTGCTTTGCACTTGTCGGTCCGTCGGTCCGTCGGTCTGTCGGTCCGTCGGTCCGTCGGTCCGTAGACCAAATGGTTTCCGAGTGATAACTAAAGAACCCTTAGGCCTAGGAACTTCAAACTTGGTATGGTGATTGGTCATGACCAGTAGATGACCCCTATTGATTTTGGGGTCAAGGGGTCAAAGATCAAGGTCACATTGACCTTGTAAGCAAAAACGGTTTCCGATCAATAACTAAAGAACCTTAAGGCCTAGGAACTTCAAACTTGGTATGGTGATTGTTCATGATCAGTAGATGACCCCTATTGATTTTGGGGTCAAGGGGTCAAAGGTCAAGGTCACATTGACCTTGTAAGCAAAAACAGTTTCCGATCAATAACTAAAGAACCTTAAGGCCTAGGAACTTCAAACTTGGTATGGTGATTGGTTATGATCAGTAGATGACCCCTATTGATTTTGGGGTCAAGGGGTCAAAGGTCAAGGTCACATTGACCTTGTAAGGAAAAATGGTTTCCGATTAATAACTAAAGAACTTTTAGGCCTAGGAACTTCAAACTTGGTATGGTGATTGGTTATGACCAGCAGATGACCCCTATTGATTTTGGGGTTAAGGGGTCAAAGGTCAAGGTCACATTGACCTCTTGGGTAAAAACGGTTTCCGATCAATAACAAAAGAACCCTTAGGCCTAGGGACTTCAAACTTGATATGATGATTGGTCATGATCAGTAGATGACCCCTATTGATTTTGGGTTCAAGGGGTCAAAGGTCAAGGTCACATTGACCTCATAGGTAAAAACGGTTTCCGATCAATAACTAAAGAACCCTTAGGCCTAGGAACTTCAAACTTGGTATGGTGATTGGTCATGACCAGCAGATGACCCCTATTGATTTTGGGTTCAAGGGGTCAAAGGTCAAGGTCACATTGACCTCATAGGTAAAAACGGTTTCCGATCAATAACTAAAGAACCCTTAGGCCTAGGAACTTCAAACTTGGTATGGTGATTGGTCATGATCAGTAGATGACCCCTATTGATTTTGGGTTCAAGGGGTCAAAGGTCAAGGTCACATTGACCTCATAGGTAAAAACGGTTTCCGATCAATAACTAAAGAACCCTTTAGGCCTAGGAACTTCAAACTTGGTATGGTGATTGGTCATGACCAGCAGATGACCCCTATTGATATTGGGGTTAAGGGGTCAAAGGGCAAGGTCACATTGACCTTGTAGGTAAAAATGCTTTCCGATCAATAACTTAAGAACCCTTAGGTCTAGGAACTTCAAACTTGGTATGGTGATTGGTCATGACCAGCAGATGACCTTTTGATTTTGGGGTCAAGGGGTCAAAGGTCAAGGTCACATTGACCTTGTAGGTAAAAACGGTTTCCGATCAATTAACTAAAAACTTAGGCCTAGGAACTTCAAACTTTGTATGATGATTAGTCGTGACCAGCAGATGACCCCTATTGAGTTTTGGGTCAAGGGTCAAAGGTCAAGGTCACATTGACCTTGTAAGTAAAACGGTTTCTGATCAATAACTTAAGAACGCTTAGGCCTAGGAACTTCAAACTTGGCATGGTGATTTGTCATGACCAGCAGATTACCCTAATGATTTTGGGATCAAGGGGTCAAAGGTCAAGGTCACATTGACATTGTAAGTAAAACGGTTTCTGATCAATAACTAAAGAACGCTTCGGCCTAGGAACTTCAAACTTGGCATGGTGATTGGTCATGAGCAGCTGATGCCCCTCATTGATTTTGGGGTCAAAGGTCAAGGTCACATTGACCTTGTATGTTAAAACAGTTTCCGATCAATAACTAAAGAACCCTTAGGCCTAGGAACTTCAAACTTGGTATGGTGATTGGTCATGACCAGCAGATGACCTATTGATTTTGGGGTCAAGTGGGCAAACGTCAAGGTCACATTGACCTTGAAGGTAAAAACGGTTTCTGATCAATTAACTAAAAACGCTTAGGCCTAGGAACTTCAAACTTTGTATGATGATTGGTCGTGACCAGTAGATGACCCCTATTGAGTTTTGGGTCAAGGGGTCAAAGGTTAAGGTCATGACCAGTAGATACTTGATAATCCTTTTTAATTGTTTGATCACTGGGTCAGAAGTCATGCATAATAACCTTATCACATGACTAATTGGCTGCTGATAGGGGGCATACATGTTTTACAAACATATCTTGTTATTTTATGGTAGCAGTAATTTTTATGCCACCGCAGCATCTGCGATGCGGTGGCATATAGCGATTCACCTGTGTGTGTGTGTGTGTGTTTGTTTGTGTGTGTGTGTGTTATATAGATTATATAGTGAACTTAAAAAATCTTCTTGTGAAAAACCACTTGTCCAATTTCAACCAAACTTGGCAGGATTGATCCTTTGGTGAAGGGCTTTCAAAGTTGTTCAAAGAATTTCATTCCATGCAGAAATCTGGTTGCCATGGCAACCAAAAGGAATTATAAGAATAAATTTAAAAAATCTTCTTGTAAAGACCCAGAAGGCCTAGAGCTTAGATATTTTGCATAAGGCATTGTCTGGTAGACCTCTACCAAGATTGTTCAAATTATAGCCCTGGGGTCAAAATCGGCCCCGCCCCGGGGGTCATTGATTTTCACTATATGTACATATAGTAAAAACTTAAAATACCTTCTTGTAAAGACCCAAAAAGCCCAGAGCTTAGATATTTTGCATAAGGCATTGTCTTGTAGACCCTTACCAAGATTGTTCAAATTATAGCCCTGGGGTCAAAATCGGCCCCGCCCCGGGGGTCATTGATTTTCACTATATATACATATAGTAAAAACTTAAAATACCTTCTTGTAAAGACCTAAAAGGCCTAGAGCTTAGATATTTTGCAAAAGGCATTTTGTAGTGAACCTCTAGCAAGATCGAGTGAACCTCTAGCAAGATCGTTCAAATTATAGCCTTGGGGTCAAAATAGGCCCGCCCCTGGGGTCATTGGTTTTCTTTATATGTATGTTGTAAAAACTTTAAAAAAAATTCTTCTAGCAATTGACAAATGCTAGAGGTTAGATATTTTGCATGAAACATTGTGTAGTGAACCTCTAGCAAGATTGTACAAATTATAGTCCTGGTGTCAAAATTGGCCCCCACCCCCAGGGGTCATTGATTTTCACTATGTACATATAGTAAAAAATTAAAAAAAATTCTTGTCTGAAGGTACAAGGCTTAGAGCTTTGATATTTGGTATATCATATCATCTATGGGTCCTCAACTAAAGTTGTTTTAATTATGCCCCTAGTGAAAAAATTGCCCTGCCCTAGAGGCGATAGTTTTCCTTATATGCATAAAGTAAAAACTTGAAAAATCTTCTTCTCTGAATTGACAAAGGCTAGAGGTTAAATTTATGGCATGAGACTTTGGTAATTGAACCTCTACTAAGATTGTTCAAATTATAGCCCTGGGGTCAAAATTGGTTCCGCCCCGGGTTCATTGATTTTCATTATGTCATGTATGTACATATAGTAAAAAAAAACAAACAAAAACTATTTTTGTCTGAAGGTACAAGGCATAGAGCTTTGATGTTTGCTATATAATATCATCTGTAGGTCCTCTACCAAAGTTGTTCAAAGTTTTCCCCTGGTGTCAAAATCGGCCCTGCCTGGGGGCAGTGATTTTCATTATGTACACATAATAAAAACAGAAAATAAAACAAATGTTTTCTGAATGGGAGAAAGCTACAGCTTAGATATTTGACTTGAAATATTGTTTGGTGGACCTGTATCAAGATTGTTTTGAATTAAACCCTTGGGTCAAAATTTTGCCTTGCCCAAGGGGACAGTGACCTACTTTCTTGTCCTTTGATGTACAGCAATGAAATTTTGACCATGTGCACAGTTTTAGTTGTAAAATTGAACTTTTATATCAAGTGACCTAGATTTTGATTATGTGACCTACTTTCTTGTCCTTTGATGTACAGCTATGAAATTTGAACCATGTGCACAGATAAAGATGTGAAGTGAACTTTGATATCAGCTGACCTAGATTTTGACAAAGTGTCTTACTGTGCTGTCTTTTGATGTAGTCATGAAATTGAGGCTGTTGTCTGCTTATCTTTCTGCAAGGGATGGCTAGCAGTTTATAGTAATACGTTGGTTTTGCATTGGTACCGGCTCATCCAGACAATAATATACTAGGTTAATTAAAGACGCGTTCTTCAACAGTATTTGTTCCTACACTTCTATTTAGTGTTGTATTAATGCGGTGGCATAGCATTTTCTCAAATGCAATCTTGTTGTGGGTAGTTAAGAGGAAGGGAAACATGCCATATTTAATTTTTTCACCTTATGTTAAATGCAACGAACTGTATTGAAACAAGATATTTGTAATGCACATTTCAGGATTGTTGGACCCAAAATGGATCGAGGAGCGTAACCGGCAAATTCAAGAGCGTACGGATCAAGAGGAAGTGTTTGCTGCTGGTTCCTCTATCGAGAGCAGCTTGAAACATCTGGCTGAAAGACGTACTGATATCTTCGGTGCGGGAACCGAAGAAGCTGGTATCGGTAAAAAGGTAAATTTTTTACTTGCTAAGGTCCTGATTTATATGAAAAAACAGTATTTTCAAGTCAATCTACTTCTAATAATTAGAAGTTCAATATCAGTAAAAGTGTGGGCCAGCCCCGCACTTCGATAATTTCCAGCCAGACTAGCACTGTTGACTTCTCAATAATGGTATTTTGAAATCTCCTAAACTTCTTATAGACTGTTCCATGGGGCAAGTATATATCATCAGCAGGGTAAGGGTTAAATAAGAAATATAAAAAAATAGTACAGTTTTATGTGAGCTCAGTCCACTTGGAAAAGTTTACAATTTATTCAAATTTAGAATAATAACAAATAAAACAATTAGGTTTTTAGCATTCTACAGGTACTGGTACTCAAAATTGTATAAAATTTATAAATTTTTAATTGCAAAGGTTAGCTTGTTATTTATACCTAAAAATAGATTGTACTATTTTTAGAAACCAGAATGGAAACCCAGATATCTATACTAAAAATAGACATTTAAACAACCAGCTCATTTGTATATTATAAAGTAGATCTAAATATATAACATTAAGATCGTTTATAGATAATGCATTACTTTAAGTGCTTAATAAATTATATTTGCATATATCTAAATTGTTTAAAAATGAAATGAGTGAATTTGAAATATAGGAGATGTACATTTCCTTTTAATCTGTATAAAACTTCTGTTTTCCTATTAAAGTTGCACTTTCAAAGTGGCTTTAAAAGAGATATTTCAGTACTTGAGAAATATGAGATTATTTAACTTGTTAGGTATTGATTTTGTTCAGAATACTGTATATATAAATATGATTGACTGACACTAGTATGTGGACCGGAGGCAGTTGGTTATCTATACGATGTCTACACTTCCCAGCTTCCATCATTAGTCCATATACATTTTCATAATTTCCCAAAGAACTAAAGGTTCTGTGTGAGCTTTTATGAATATTGAATATTTCGTTATTCAACCTGCTGAATTTAAATAGATTTGCCTTACTTTGAGTTTGGGAAAGTCCGTTTGAAGTTTAAGGTATAGAGTCTGGTTAGCCTACACACATCTCCAGACTGACCTGGTGTTATATAGGGGTCAAAGGTCAATCACATTTCCTCCCTTGATTCTCTCTAAACTTGGTTTGTAATATCCCTTTATGGTTCCATTGGAATAATTTTTCAAGGTGTTCTAATAATCATAATCAGTCCCTTATTATTATTATTTTTTTTTTTGGGGGGGGGGGGTCTATTATAAGAAGGGCCATTGAATGAACTTTAATATTGTAATGAATTTTAATGGGTAAAATAAGTGTTGAAATAAAAATAAAAAAAGACCTACAGTTCTAATATTTGTTGTACAAGTTGGTCATGGATGTGTTAATATAATAATTTTATAAAATTATGACTGTTTTATGTTGACATGTGCAATATGGTGACAAAAAGTGCTTGAAAAATGAGAAACATGCTTAAATACTAAATAGTGCTTTTAAAGTGCTTAATAAAACTAATGTTTTTCTAGCATTTAATGTCTGTTTTATGTATAAATATAAATAGATGTACTATTTTTAGAAGTCAGAATGGAAACCCAGATAATGTGTCTATTCTAAAAATAAATAATTGAAAAATGGCTGCCTACTTTTACATGATAATAATGACAAAAATGATAGGATTTGAGTTCTTGGTCAACTTTGATGTTATTTTATAACAAAATACATGTAGTTTAAACTTGTTACTGGTACTTCTTAATATATTTATCTTCAATAGAACATAATTTGCATATTATTAAGTGGATCTAAATATAAAACATGAAGATCGTTTATAGATAATGCAAAATTTTAAGTTATTCAGAAATTGTATTTTCATATATCTAAATTCTTTAAAAATGAAATGAGTGAATTTGACGTATTAGAAATGTACAGTTCCTTTTAGTCTGTACAAAACTTCTGTTTTCCTGTTTAAGTAACACTTAGAAAATGTCTTTTAAAGTGATATTTCTGTATTTGTGTTATATTCGATTATTTAACTTGTTAGGTATTGATTTTGTTCAGTACACTGTATATATAAATAAGATTGACTGACACTAGTATGTGGACCGGAGGCAGTTGGTTATCTATACGATGTCTACACTTCCCAGCTTCCATCATTAGTCCATATACATTTTCATAATTTCACCAAAACTAAATGTTCTGGGTGAGCTATTGTAAATATTGAATATTTCAATATTTCGTTGTATAACCTGCAGAATTTGAATGGATTTGCCTTACTTTGAGCTTGGAACAGTTTATTTGAAGTTTAAGGGATCTCAATATCAAATACAAAATCAAACAAACAACAGTGTCAGACCTGTAATCAAAGTTTCAGGGATCTCAATATTAAAATACAAAAATCAAACAAACAACAGTATAGGACCTGGTTAGCCCACATTTGAATTTCAGGGATCTCAAAATCATTCAAGGATCTCAATATCGAAATAAACTACAGTATTGGACCTGGTCTGACTGCAATTGAAGTTTCAGGGATCTCGAATATCATTCGAGGATCTCAAAATCAAAATACAAAAATAAAAAAACAACAACAGTAATGGACCTGATCAGTCTGCATTTGAATTTCAGAGATCACAATATCATAATATAAAATCAAACAAAAAAGAAAAAAAAACAGTATTGGACCTGGTCAGCCTGCATTTGAAGTTTCAGGGATCTAAATGTTATATCAAAATACAAAAGTCAAACAAACAAGTTGTATATGACCTTGTTAGGCTGGTCTGGCTCAGTACAGGTGGCGCAGACGAATCACATGGTTCATTAAACATTTTTGTGTCGCCTTGAAAAGGTGACATATAGGGGTTACTTTTCGGCGGCGTCTGTGTCGGCAGCGTCGTCGTCGTTGGCGGCGTCCCCTAAAGCTTGTCCGGAGCATAACTCAGTCACTTTAAGTCTGATTGACTTCAAACTTGGTATGCATGCTTCTTTCAATAACCCGGAGTGCAGTGCACAAGGACCAGTACTCTGCAGTTCTTATTTTTTGAGTTATTGCCCTTTGTTAATTTTCTTACTTTAATTTTGTCCGGGCCATTTCTCTTCAACTAAAAAAGCTATTGACTTGAAACTTCATAGGATGATAGATCTCATTAAGAAGAAGTGCAGTGCACAAGAACCGGTACTCTGCACTTCCTAATTTTTGAGTTATTGCCCTTTGTTAATTTTCATACTTTATTTTTGTCCGGGCTATTTCTCCTAATGTATAAAAGCCATGGACTTGAAACTTCATAGGATGATAGCTCTCATTAAGAAGAAGTGCAGTGCACAAGAACAGTTACTCTGCATTTCTTATTTTTTGAGTTATTGCCCTTTGTTTATTTTCATACTTTAATTTTGTCCTGGCCATTTCTCCTTAAGAATAAAAGCTATGGACTTGAAACTTCATAGGATGATAGATCTCATTAAGAAGAAGTGCAGTGCACAAGAATCGGTACTCTGCATTTCTTAATTTTTGAGTTATGGCCCTTTGTTATTTTTCATACTTAATTTTTGTCCAGGCCATTTCTCCGAAAGTATAAAAGTTATGGACTTGAAACTTCATAGGATGATAGATCTCATGAAGAAAAAGTGCAGTGCATAAGAACTGATACTCTGCATTCCTTATTTTTTGAGTTATTGCCCTTTGTTGATTTTCTTACTTTATTTTTGTCCTGGTCATTTCTCGTCAAGTATGAAAGCTATGGACTTGAAACATCATAGAATGATAGATCTTATTGATAAGAAGTGCAGTGCACAGAAACTGCTGCTCTGCACTTATTATGTTTTTAGTTATTGCTATTTTTCATATTTCATTTTTGTCCTGGCTATTTCTCCTAAACTACATTGTTCACAAGGCGACACATCCGACTCGCGGAGTTCTAGTCTTCGATAAAATCTAATTTCAAGGTATGACTGTGTGGTATTTTTTATATGAAAGAACATTGAATGATTTTTTTTTCAATGATATTCTATTGAATCTTTTTATGGGTTACATAAATATGCTAAAATTTAGATATTTTTGTTGATTTTTTTTAGAGGTCCATGAAATTTAGGTATTTAATTTTTTGGTTAATTTTGTAGCTTGGTGAAGAAGAGGATGAAGGCAAGAAGGACAAGAAAGTGGTTTGGGACGGACACACGGCCTCCATGGAGAAAGTGGCACAGAAAGCCAGAGAAAATTTCTCCATTGATGAACAGATTGCAAACATCCACAAGGTTAAAGGACTTGTGTAAGTAGATGACCAATGTTTTATTAAACAACTATCTCTGAATCTCAGACAGAGCTTCCATGGACCCCTTGTTGTACCCCTTTCTTTGAGATACGGGAGTCAGTTGTAGTTTTCTATGGGCCTCCATATCGAAACTTAATTATAGCAACTAAAATCAATACAACTTTAAATAAATGGTACTACACTTCTATTCTTGGAGATAAACTATTGAGCTTGTTAGCTGGTTAGAAAGTACCTAAATATTATTTTATAGATGATAACATTTTATTTACCCTAAAGTTACGTAGTTACCTCAAAGGAATGGAAATTCTAAAATGGTTGGTAAGTGTTTTGAATCAAATTGTTTGGGGTGTTTGTTGAAAAAAATGAACCTCAACTTGTACCGAGGACACACACAGGGTATTTCCTGTGAAGCAGTCAATTATATAAATCAGTATTTAAATAGAAAATTTAGTGTTTTACATAATCTATGATTGACATTTTCAGACCTGATGCTGAGAAAGAGAAGATTGGACCTTCTAGGACAATGGGGATGGCTATACCACCACCCCCACCACCTAGCAAGCCGGCACCACCCAAACCAGCTCCTCCAAAACAGCCACCACCTCCAGCAGTATCAATGCCAGGTCCACCAGTGAGCACCCAGCCACAGGCGTTAAAGAGACCAGTGGTCGCTATACAACAACCACCACCACCCCAGGTGATGATGATGCCACCAAGGCCACCACCCATGCAGGTCATAGGTAAGTGTAGGCCCTCTTTCTTTTCAAATAGAAACAGAATTAAGATACACATCTGCTGTCAATATTAAAAAATCAAAATTAAGTTTGATATTTGCTAACCAATATTAGCATTTTTAGCTCACCTGTCACAAAGTGACAGGGTGAGCTTTTGTGATCGCTTTTCGTCCGTTCCGTCCATCGTCCGTAAACTTTTACTTTAAATGACATCTCCTCATAAACCACTAGGCCAATTTCATCCAAACTTCACAGGAATGTTCCTTTGGTGGTCACCTTTAAAAATTGTTAAAAGAATTTAATTCCATGCAGAACTCTGGTTCATGCAGAACTCTGGTTCCCATGGCAACCGAAAGAAAAAACTTTAAATATCTTCTTTTAAAAAACCCTAAGAGCTAGAGCTTAGATATTTGGCATGAAACATCTTCTAGTAAGTGTCTACCAAGTTTGTTCAAATAAAAGCCCTGGGGTCAAAATTGGCCCCGCCCCAGGGGGTCATTGATTTTCCCTATATGCATATAGTAATAACTTAAAAAATCTTCTTTTAAAGAACCCAAAGAGCTAGAGCTAAGATATTTAGCATTAAACATGTTCTAATGAGTGTCTACCAAGTTTGTTCAAATAAAAGCCCTGGGGTCAAAATTGGCCCCGCTCCAGTGGGTCATTGATTTTCCCTATATGCATATAGTAAAAACTTAAAAAATCTTCTTTTAAAGAACTCGAAGAGCTAGAGCTAAGATTTTTAGCATCAACATGTTCTAATAGGTGTCTACCAAGTTTGTTCAAATAAAAGCCCTGGGGTCAGAACTGGCCCCGCCCCAGGGGTGTCATTGTTTTTAACTATTTGTGTATAGTAAAAACTTTAAAAAATCTTCTTTTAAAAAGCCCAATGAGCTAGAGCTTAGATATTTAGCATGAAACATCTTCTTATGGGTGTCTACCAATTTTGTTCAAATAAAAAACTCAAAGAGCTAGAGCTAAGATATTTAGCATCAAACATGTTCTAATAGGTGTCTACCAAGTTTGTTCAAATAAAAGCCCTGGGGTCAAAATTGGCCCGCCCCGGGGGTCATTGATTTTCCTTATATTTGTATAGCAAAAACTTAAAAAATCTTCTTTGAAAAAACCCAAATAGCTAGAGTTTAGATATTAAGCATGAAACATCTTCTATTGAGTGTCTACAAAGTTTGTTCAAATAAAAGCCTTGGGGTCAAAATTGGCCCCGCCCCGGGGGTCATTGATTTTCCTTATATGTGTGTAGCAAAAACTTAAAAATCTTCTTTGAAAAACCCAAATAGCTAGAGTTTAGATATTAAGCATGAAACTTCTTCTAGTAAGTGTCTACAAAGTTTGTTCAAATAAAAGCCCTGGGGTCAAAACTGGTCCCGCCCCAGGGGTGTCATTGTATTTAACTATATGTGTATAGTAAAAACTTAGAAAAATCTTCTTTTAAAAAACCCAATGAGCTAGAGCTTAGATGTTCAGCATGAAACATCTTCTTATGGGTGTCTACCAAGTTTGTTCAAATAAAAGCCCTTGGATTAAAATTGGCCCTGCCGGGGGGGTAGGGGGAGGGGTGAGAAGGTCATTGTTTTTCATTATATGTGTGTAGTAAAAACTTAACATCATGAAACATCTTCTAATGGGTGTCTTCCAAGTTTGTTCAAATTAAAGCCCTGGGGTTTAAACTGGCCCCGCTCCAGGGGCCTATATACAGGTGAGCGACCTCAGGGCCATCGTGGCCCTATGATGGCCCTCTTGTTTGTTAATCCTGCAAAGTACACTGATTATTTACACTAATTTGCTGGATTTCAAAGGTAATGTGCAAAAAGTTAAAAATCATTATCATTTGGTCTTAAAACTGTTCTAATTGTGATTTCATGTAGATAACTTTCAAAATATTGTTTGAATAATTACAGGAATGCCACCAGGCCCACCTAGTATGATGGTTGCCCAGCCAATGAGGCCTCCTGGTTTCCCAGCACCGCCACCCATGGTTCGACCCCCGGCACCTGTACCACAAGCGGCACCACCTGAGGACGAACCGCCAAGCAAGAAACAGAAAACAGAAGAACAGCTTGTACCTGAGGAGGAATGGCTGAAACTTCACAAGGTTTGTAACAGGATTTGCTGAGATGTTTATGCTACACCAGTTCATACTTTTCACATAAAAAATGTGATCAAAAAAGATGTTTAAATGTTTTTGAGGGAATGTTTTATTCTGTTTCCTAATTCATGTGTGTTAAACAACTTTCTGTAAAAACTCTCCCCAGATAATGACAGTCGAGTAATAAAAAAATATGGTTTTACAGATTGTGAATTTTATTGTTCCTTTTGCTAGTTAACATTACTTTATTTAATGCAATATGAATATTTCAATAAATCGGTTATTCATGATATGTTTGCTGTATTTATTTCAGGGAAGTGTCAAGTTCCGTGTAACTGTACCTAGTATGCCGGACAAACCAGAGTTCAACCTGAAGGGACAAACTCTCCAATTCACACTGCCTTACACTGATAATGTAAGTAGTTGTCCCCCTTGGTGAGGTGTAAGTAGTTGTCCCCCTTGGTGAGTTTTAAGTAGTTGTCCCCCTTGATTAGGTGTATGTAATTGTCCCCCTTGGTCAGTTGTAAGTAGTTGTCCCCCTTGGTTAGGTGTAAGTAGTTGCCCCTCTTGGTCAGGTGTAAGTAGTTGTCCCCCTTGGTCAGGTGTAAGTAGTTGTCCCCCTTGGTGAGGTGTAAGTAGTTGTCCCCCTTGGTGAGGTGTAAGTAGTTGTCCCCCTTGGTCAGGTGTAAGTAGTTGTGATTAAGTTTTGATAGGAATTAACCCAGTTACTGCATGATTTATGGAGATGTTGTTTAGATGCCTGCCTCTTGATTCTTGGATTGTAGGTTCAAGTCTTACTGTGTGTCACCTCAAAGTTTCCACATTTGATACCAATATTTATAAGCTCCTGGAAAGTGATTTGAATAATCTGTAACCTTTCATTACTATCGTGCTGAAATAAATTTGTTAAAAAGTAAAATATGATAGAAATATAAGGATGTTTTATTTCTGTATTATTATTATGCGACCATGAAAATGACTGTTTGATTTAGCATTTAGCAAATTTATAGATTATACTAGGATGTAGTGTTAAATGTCAGCAAATCAGTCCATATCTCATTCTCTATGGCAAACAAAAATATAACAGACCAATATTTTGAGTAATGAATATTTCAAGGATTGATGTAACCATTTAAAGTACAGTTAAATCTGTGTACTGCTGACACTGATAGGAACAGGTAAAAATGGCTGCTGCTATCTGTATACAGTATATAGATTTGCTTTGCAACCATGTGTGATACAATGTTTTGAATATATGAATACATATAAGACCTTTGTTAATTGTATAGAAGTTAGCTCCCTTTGTATGTTACTGATTATATAATGATTATAGATAATTTGTTTGATTTACAGGTGTCGGTATTGAAGGCTAAGATTAACGAGTCGGTTGGTTTACCGGGCGGCAAACAGAAGCTCCAGTATGATGTAAGTATACTAGTTTGTAATTCTGTAAATTCATTTAATTTTGTGGTTATGAAATTTTGTGGTTTTGTCACAAAGAACATTTTTGTGGGTTCTTAAATTCATGGACTGATTATTTTTCCAAAAGGTAAAATGTAAAAAATGTGATAAAAAATAATCTTACAGCAGACAAAATGAAATTTTGTTGGATATTAAATTCATGGATTGACCTATCCACGAAAACCACGAAAATTAGTTCCCAACTAATAATAATGACTTTGCAGTATTGTAAGGAATTTCCTCAGTCATCACCAGGGCTTTTTGTCACAAAGAGGTCAGAAGTGACAGAACCTGTTTATGTATCCATCCTTTATGTTACTACAGATTAAATTACATGTGATCTCATTTCAGTAGCATTTTATTATGAAGAATGCCATTGACAAACTTGCATTGTTTGCACCTTATGATCTCCCAGTATAAATCATTGAATCCAACCTTATCAATTAAGCCTCATATTCATTTTCCCTGTTAAAAAATTCCATATCAAATTACTATACCTCCACCTAACCTTGTTTTCATTTTCAGTTTCCAGAAAATTAGTATCAAATCCTTATTGTACTTGCAGTAACAAAATTATGTCAAAATGTCAAAAATTTGTTGGTGTGAAATAAAGATGGCATTATACATTCTTGAGTACAATACTGATTATAATAGGACTGATGAACATCTGCAAAACTTACATGACTTGGCTTACGCCTTGTTCAGTATAGGTGTGACAGCTACGTACTCGTCAAAAAAAAATTCCGTATTGTACTTAACAATGTATAATAAACTCAATATATTGGATGTAAAACCATGATTATGCAATTGTCCATATTTAATGCTTAACATATCGGGTATCTGTCAATAGAGGTTTTGAAATTTTCCTGAATAAGCATAAATGTGATAGTTAATAACGTAAAATAGACATATGTTACCGATAGGTCATGTAAAAAATAAAATTTTAAGTACAAGAATATATCATATAACTTTGAAATCATGACGATGTTGATTGTGTATGTAAACTGATTAACATAGCACAATAGAATGTAAAGTTGTCGGATACACTTAATGTTCATCTGATGATAACCATCTACTAATGCAGATATATGATCTTATATATGATATACAAAAATAACCAGCAAAATAAAGTTTCAAGTATATCATGTTTAAACATTTTAGTTACTTTGAAGTCCAGACATCATAAATAAAGACGGATGTACATAGAAAAAAATGTGCTTTTAAGTATCATATTCAATAAAGAGAAAATTGAAAAATTCAGTGTAGCAACTTGTTGATGTTAAACATTTATCATCAGTATAACATAAGATCCATGGCGGATAGAAAACGCAAAAAGTTGTCATTTTTAGGGACCGAAAAAGGAAAAAAGTAATTAAGGAAAGATAGCAGTAATGGTCATTGGTAAAGGGACACCACTGGGGGGGGGGGTTGGCATGAAGGGACCGAAAAGATTTTTTGAAGATTTTTGTACCAAGGGATGTAGGTCTTGATTAATAACCTGTGTGTTAAATTTTAATCCGTTTTCCAGGGATAGTAATTTCTATTGTGCAATTTAACCCCAAAATGAAAAGCATTGCAATGCTTTTACACTCATATCGAGCCAAAAACTAAAGAAAAATTTGATTATCAATGCAAAACCAAGTATATTTCTGTATAATCTTTTGCTTTTTTTCCATTTTCTGGTGAACTAGTTGAATTAGGGGGGAAAAACAAATTTTATTATTTTTAGGCTTTTGGATCTCAGTGGAGTCCCTTTAAGAATCAAAAGTCACTTGGAATGATACCATATTATATCCTCCAACTAACTTGAGTGCACATTATTTGAAGACTTGCCCATCAGTTATTCGAGTTATTAACATTTGTATGAAATACTGATCTCGATCAAACCAATTTTACATCAAGTGCAACAACATTAAAAATAGGCACTCTGTAGGGTATTTATAGAAATAAAGGTATCAATATACATAAAAGTCCATATTGCTTAATTTTCACAAATTTGTGACCTTTTAGTATATATAGCTTTATGATTATAATGTGATACAAAAAATGTGTTTTGTATAATTCCAGGGGCTATTTATCAAGGACTCTAACACACTGGCGTTCTACAATTTTGTCAACGGAGGAACAGTGCAGTTACAACTGAAGGAAAGAGGAGGAAGAAAGAAGTAATTTGGGAGATAGAGAGAAGAATGTATATACTTATTATTGACAATAGAAAAGGACATTGTCAACAGCAAGTGTTTAACAAGTGAAAATTCGAAAAATCAAAATTTTGGGAAATTTAATGAATTAAAAAAAAAGAAAAAAATTATCTTCAATGGGTGTAGATTTTTTTGGCAAGTTTATTTAGATGGTTGCCTGTTTTTTTATTTGGCTATTTGTTTTGTAAATATTGTGTCTAATTTCTTGGAGGACGGTTCACCTTTTTGAACTTTATTGTTACATGTGATGAATTTTATGTCTTATTCATTATTTGAAATTGTGAATGTAATTTATAGTTCCTTATGAATGTCATTGTGAAGCCAATGTCTTGTATAATTCATTCTGTAATTATGTCATTTGTGAATTTTATGTCTAATTCATTCTATGTATCATTCTTGGATTAATGTCTGATTCATTATTATGGTATTAAGAATATTTTGTTTAATTCATTTGTAAATATTATGTCTCATTCATTCTTTATATCACTCAAGAATAAATGTAATTCATTCTAATGGTTAGTTATGAACATAATTTCTAATTCATTCTTACCATCATTAAGAACATTATGTCTAATTCATACTAATTGTCATTAATGAATATAAATCCAATCCATTCTATATGCCATATCTGATTATTGTGTGTAATTCATTAGAAATGCAATTTGAGTGTCTAATTAATTATAAACTTCATGTGTGAAAACTATAGCTTAATAATTCGGTATACTTTTCTACGAAATAAAGTTTTAATATTTTATAAGGTAGCCTATTGTTAAGATTAACAAGTCATCAGTTTGCTAATTAGGTACTCTGTGACAGTTTGGGCAAATTATCTTGACTTATAGTCACTACTAGATGGCTACTATCTGTTCTGGTTCAGTTTTTTGTTAGGTTTTAAGTGAATAACTTACCTATCCAGGTACATGTAGACTAGAAGGTTTGTTCATTTTACTCATCTACCTAGTTGTACACTGAAATAATGGACTCAAGTCTGAAGGGAACTGCAACAAAGATGGCATATGATTTATAAATGTGTATGTCTTTAGAGAAAAATATAAAAAAGACCCAGCATGCTGACTAGTTATAAAATGTCAAATAGGTATTCTGTGAAGGAAGTCATAACTATGTTTAAGACTATATGAGAAAACTTAGGTGTTTTTTATTTAAGGAAAATAAGAAGTTATTTTTTCTTGCAGCATATGAAGCATATTTGATGTTTATTTTTAAGTTTTCATAGAAGTGTGGTTTTCTGGGATTTTCTTATAAGAGCATTGTAATATACATTTTCACTGAACATTATTTGATTGATAAGAAGAATTAACAACTTTCCTTTTTGTTTGAGGTAGTAAAAAAATAATAAAGGCACTTAAAATGGTAATTTAAATAGCTAGATCTTAATGTTTGAATAAAGTTTAGACAGAGAAGTTCCGTTTTTGTTATGTTTTCATTTATTTCAGGATCGGTCTACATATGTACTGTGGCTGGGTGGCAAGTCACGTACTCCTCACCTATAAAAACGCTACACTTACTGTTATGTTTAATTCATTCCTTCTATTATTGTCATTTCCGTTTGTTGTACATGTAAAATGAGCGGGAAGGATTTTATTTGTCAGGTCAGTTTTGAACGGGTAGGCTTTAACCACTCATCCACTCTGCTTATCACTGTCCCAAACAATTTTACTATACTTTGAAAAAATGAAGCTAAGAGCATAATTAATGAAGAACTGGCATCCAATTGTGACTGAAATAAATCTTGGACCAGCCTGCTTTATGCACGGAGGCACATTTGTGTCTGAAATAAAGTACTGAAATAAAGACCGAGGGACATTTGTGTGTGAAATAAAGTACATTTGTGTCTGAAATGAAGTATCGTTGAACATTTGTATCTAAAATAAAATATGAAGGGATATTTATTACTTGCAAGGAGCCACAAAAGACCCACAATTGAGGGTTAATGCATCTTTTTTTCATGCATTAACATCTACAGAAACACCGGATGCATTTAAAACCAGAGAGCGCAGTGTGAGGTATTTAATAATTATGAAGGCTTACGCTGATCTATATTAATGCGCGGAAAAAAAGATGCATTAGAGCTATTCTTGCATAAAAGTTTACGTCAAAATCGTCAATGTTTCGTTATCAGTGTAAAGAAACCATTGCTTGTATCTTAGCGCGTTGTCATTTGACATAAAACTATCATAGCCGTGGTTGTGGTGGTGTTGATAGTTTTCACTCCGGATCACGACAGTAAGCCACATTGAATTTACCAGAACACAGTTCAACCACCGCATCGCTCCTGGGCAGGCTGTCAAGCAGTGTACAAGTACTAGTTGCCTTCACTTTCGCAAGGAACTGAAACTTCTGTACATGCTAGAGCAGAGATACAGTGCGAATGAAAGGATTTCATGATCAATCATAACGAAAGTGACCTGCACCGTCCGGAATCGAACCCTGGTCGCCCGATTCACAGTACAGCGCTCTACCTATTGTGCTAACCGGACCGTCATTGCACTGAGCTGTTTTATATAACGTCGCGTGATCACGAGAATCTATGCGTTAATGTATACCTGCATGCACAGTTTTTAGAATTTGGAGTGTAAATACGGGTAAACGAACAATCCTAAAGCAAGACATCACTCTGATATTCCCTAACACAGTCTTTTCATATTCTTCCACTAAACCGGTGGCATTGTCATTCCAATGTTCACCGGTAGTTTTGAAACCGAAAGGGCTTGAGAGGTATGAGAATCATTTAGAAGCTTTTTTTCCTGCGCTCCATTATATCCTAGTTTGATTAAAAATTTTATTCAAAAACAATAAAAATTGGGGTTTAAACGGGAAAGCAAAAAGAATTATATTACGTTTTTTTCAATGAAACGGCCCCAAAGGTTTTTATTTAGACCCAAAATTTTCCCCTTTTTTTTGTGGGTTGTTAAAAAAAAGATAATTTATTTAAAGGGGGATAATTTTTTATAAAATTTCGAAATAATAAAAGGAAATTTGGGGGTTTTGTATTTAAAATTTTAGCATTTTGACCCGCGAAATGTAATGCTTTAAAATGAAATAATTTAAAACTCCACACTACTGGGGGGCCTTTACCAAAATTTTTGAATCTGAACCCAAATTTTTTAAATTTTTTATGATAGGGGGAATTTTCACGAAAACAAAACATGATTTTTTTAATATTAAAAGCCTTTATATTAAAATAGCCGTGGGACGACAAAAAATTTTTTAAAATAGTGGGTTTGGGGACCTGTGGGGGGAAAAACCGACCAACCCCCGCCAAAAACCGCGCAGTCCGAATTTTAGGATTCCTAGGGTTTTTGGCCCTTTGAGTTTTTTCTTTTTGTAATAGGTTTGTAAAAACGAACAGCATTTGGGTTTCCCGAAACAGAAATGGGGGGCAAATGCGCAGGCTGGTCTGGATCCAGCTGGTTTGCAAACGCATTTTCGTTGGGTTTTGTCGGGGAATCCGCCGGGGTCAAATAAATTTAAAGCATAGTAACCCCAGTTAAGGGGAACCCCCAATTTTAGGTATCATTTTGGGAAATAGGGGGGCCCCGACAATAATTTTGTACGAAATAAAAAAAAAAGTTTTATATTTTTAGATGATTTTCAATTTTATTTTTTTGGTTTCAAAAAAAAGGCAAAAATAACGAGTTTCTTTGTTTCCTAAAAAAAGGAAGTAATTAAGCCTATTTTAAATGTAATGGGGAAAATATTTTTTCGTCTATTAAACTATAAAAAATTTTAAAGCCTGGGCCTTCCCTTTTTTTTAAAAAAATTTAAAAAAATTTTTATTAAAAGTTTTTTGTAAGAAAAAAAAAGAAATTCCTGTATTTAAAAGGGGAGTTAAAAAAAGGGTTTTTCCCATTTTTTTTTTGGGGCGTTTAAACGATTTGGTTTAGGCCAGTTTAAAAAAAATTGGGTTTTTTCCCGTTTTTTTTTGGGTTTAAAAATAATGTAACATTTTTGTTAAAAAACACAAAGTGTAAACCAAAATTACACCCCCCTACCCTTTTTTTTAAAATTTAAATTTGGGGTTTATAAAATGTTTTTGTTTTTTTTTTATCATTTGAACATTAAAACTTTAACGGAAAATTCGCCCTAGCCTTTTCAATTTCCCAATAAAAAAATCTTTTGGTTTTTTGTTGTTTCATTGACTTACCTTTCGGTTTTTAGTTACCAAAAAACACCGGGGCAAGTTTTGCAACTTTAAAAAAAAGAGAATTTTATTAAGCCCAACCGAAAAAGTTTTAAAAAGGTTAAAAAAAACAAAATTGGGAATTGGAAAAAGAATAAGGGACAAAAGCCAAATTTATTTGTTAAATTAAAAGATTAAAAGACTTTTTTTTTTCCGCTCTCTTAAAAACGGCAATTTTAAATTTGTTTTTCCTTAGGAAACCTTTTCCCTTTTTTTGTACTTTTGGCTTACAACCCGGGTGGAAGAATGCCAAAATTCCTTTTTTTTTTTCAAGTCAAGGTTTTTGATTTTGGGTTTTCACGGGCCCCGAAGGTTTTTTACGTTTAAATTTTAAAAATTATTTCCCTTTTTGATAGTATGGCATTTAAAAACATGTATAAAAAACGCGTTTTTTGGCCACTTTAATATTTTTTTTATTGGATAAACTATTTCAAAATTTTTAAATAAAAATATCCCGTTAAAAACAAAGGGATAATTAAAACAGGGTTTTTAAAAAATTATTGTGCGCGTTTCTTTTTTCCCTTGGTTTAAGGCAGTCTAAATAGTTTTCCCATACTCGGGAAAATTTGGGACTAAAGGGGAAAAACTGTGACTTTGGAAAAAATTTTTAAATAAATTTTTTTTCTTGGGTTTTTGGGTTAAAAATTTTTTAACCAATGCGAAAAGCCCGGAAAAAGCAAAAATTTAACTTTTTTTACCCCAAAGGTTACCAAAAGATTGGTTTTGCTTTATAATCAAAAGCTTTTGTTTTAAAAATTTTTTTTTAAAATAATCAATGAAAAATTTTACCTTTTTAACCTTTTTTTCGTTCAGGGGTTTCCCTGGGTTTTATATTTAAAAATTTGGGGAAAAGTTTGCTTTTTTAAAAATTTTTTGGAAAAATTTTTTAAAAAAAATTAACAAGTTAATCCGGGGGGATGTTTTTTTTTTGAAAAATTTTTATAAAACTTTTTCTTTAACAAACTAACAAGGAATGGGTATTTTTTTTAAATTGTTTTATTTCGTTTAAAAAAAAGGGTTGATTAGTGTTTTAAAATTAAAAATGGATCAAAAATTTAAAGGCCCAAGGGCCAGAATGATTTGGGTATCGGGGGAGTAACCGAGGTTGAAACCCTAAAACCCAAACGAAGGGTACGCGAAGGGCTTTTGGGGGCCCCCACGGGTTGGAAAAGGGGCAGGGAAAACTATGGTTTTGACCCGGTTAAAAATGGCTATTTAAATTGGGAGGGGTACCCAAAAGGGAAAGGGAAAATAAGTAATCCCCGGGGTTGGGGGGAAAAATTTGGGGGCAAAATTTAAAGATGAAAGTTTGGAAAAAAACAGGGCGTGGGTGGATTAGGTCGAACGATGAAGAGAAAATTCCCGGGGGCCCACGAGAAAACATGGGAAAATTAAGGAGAAAAAAGGGGGGAAACGGAATTTTAAGTTAGGAGCAACGAGAGAACATGGTGATTTAAGGAAGCCCCCGGGGACGAAAAAGATTTATTTTGGAAGGGAAAAGGGGACGAAACGAAAAAAAAATTAAAGGAGCAACGAGACGAAAATGGTGAATTTAAATAGGGCCAGACGAAAGATGATCTAGGCGTCACGAGGGCAAAATTTGGGTGAAAGTTGGGATTTTTCGAGCGAAAATGAAATTTTAACTCAAGGTATGATCAAGGGCCCGCCCTTTGCAATTTGGGCCCGGGAGAAAACCTTTGGGGCGCGTTTTGATTTAAAGGCGCCACTGGGGGGGACAAGAGGGGGGAGAAAGGGGGTTTTTGGGTTTTTTGGGGGGGTTTCGGTTGGGAAAGAAAAAATTTTAAGGGGGGAGTTTATCCCTGCCCCCTAACACCAAAGGAAAACCCTCCTTCCCTACCCATCCGGGAAAAGGGTGCCGGGGAGGGAAATATGGTTTTTTAGTATGGGGGGGGTAAAAAAACCCGCTTTTTGGGGTGAAAAGGCCCTTCCCTTTTCCCCCTTAAAGGGAAACCCCGCTGGTATTTGTGGGGGGACAAAAGGGTATGTATCATGACGGGCAAAACCCTTGGGACCCAAAGGGGCTTTTGGGTTTAGTTTAGCAAGCCGAAAGGAAACCCAATTTTTGGGGGAATGGCCGCAAATGGTTTTTGGCCCGGGTTTTGTTAGTTTAAATAAGGAAATAAGCTGGGTTTTTTAAAAAAAAACATTTGAAAAACAACAACAACAACTACATCAAAAACAACAAACAATTGCATATCC